GCCTCTAACCTAAGAGCGATGGCCTCTAACCTAAGAGCGATGGCCTCCAACCTAATAGCAACGCCCTCCAACCTAAGAGCGATGGCCTCTAACCTAAGAGTAATGGCCTCCAATCTAAGCGCGATGGCCACCAACCTAGAAGCGATGGCCTCCAACCTAAGAGCAATGCCCTCCAACCTAAGAGCGATGGCCTCTAACCTAAGAGCGAAGGCCTCCAACCTAAGAGCGAAGGCCTCCAACCTAAGAGCGATGGCCTCCAACCTAGAAGCGATGGCCTCCAACCTAAGAGCGAAGGCCTCCAACCTAAGAGCGATGGCCTCCAACCTAAGAGGGATGGCCTCCAACCTAAGAGCGATGGCCTCTAACCTCACAGCGAAGGCCTCCAACCTAAGAGCGATGGCCTCCAACCTAAGAGGGATGGCCTCTAACCTAAGAGCGAAGGCTCCAACCTAAGAGCGATGGCCTCTATCCTAAGAGCGATGGCCTCTAACCTCACAGCGAAGGCCTCCAACTTAACAGCGATGGCCTCTAACCTAAGAGCGTTGGCCTCTAACCTCACAGCGAAGGCCTCCAACTTAACAGCGATGGCCTCTAACCTAAGAGCGATGGCCTCTAACCTCACAGCGAAGGCCTCCAGCTTAACAGCGATGGCCTCTAACCTAAGAGCGAAGGCCTCCAACCTAAGAGCGATGGCCTCCAGCTTAACAGCGGTGGCCTCTAACCTAAGAGCGATGGCCTCTAACCTCACAGCGATGGCCTCCAGCTTAACAGCGATGGCCTCTAACCTAAGAGCGATGGCCTCTAACCTCACAGCGAAGGCCTCCAACTTAACAGCGATGACCTCCAACCTAAAGTTCTAAGAGAAGTCAAAAAGAGAAGTGAACAGAGGGTCGACATGGGTCGACTTAGGGCTTCTAAGCGTGGTTTCACCACCAAGGGGTCGACTGAGGCTTTCTGTAATGTGAGGCTTTGTAGCCTCTTTGCGTCCCACAAATAGAGAGTCATGCGATTGCAACGGAATCACGGGGCTTCGTGGGAAGATGTGGTAAGAACGCTTCTAAGGTGGAGGCCATTGCTCAAAGTAGCGTCCTCTTGTTACTAGTAGTACGGCCAGGAGCTACTAATGGCGTCCTTGCTCCTAGTAGCGAGGCCAGGAGCCCCTAGTAGCGATGCCAGGCAGCTATTGCTCGGTCTGGGCAGAAAGATGTGGTGCTGCCGCTGATGGTCGCGGCTTCGGTGGGTGGAGCAGTGCGGGCCCTGGTGGCTGTAGTGTGGCCAATCTACCGTTGAAAGCTTGAAGTGCAGGGGAAAACATGTCGGGAGTTCGAACAGAGCAAAAACGAGACTAAACTACAGGTCCAAAGAAGGCAATTGAGCAGAAAGAAGGAAAAGCGGGAAAGATTAGATAAACATCACACGATATAGAGGGAAATTTGCTAGTAGGAACAAGTGACTTACTAGTAGTAACAGGTGCCTTACTAGTAGAACCCGCAGCTAGTAATTACAATTCTAATTAAATTAGAGGAAAATTTGATCTGAACCCGGTCAGGAGATTTTCCCCACCTTGCTGCATTGGATCCTTCTAGTCTTGGCCTACAAGCCGGCTCAGCAGGAAAGGCTGTGTAGCTTGTGCAGTTCTTAAACATTCTTTCTTTAAGACATGTTCTTTCCCTCTGCCTTTGCCTTGAAACCTGCAAAATGACTATTGTGTGATCGAACTCCTGAGTCTCTTACCCCATGCATACTGAAGAACTCGGGCCTGTATTGAGCCAGCGCATCGTGCCCACTGCTTCGCATGCTTGATACACGCCACGCCACTCGGTTCTCAAGATCTGTGAGACTCGATCCATTGCATTCGGCATGCGAAGTCTATCGTTTGTATTGGTACCTCTGGTCTTGGCACAAAACGTTTCCAGAGATCCAGCCTCCTGATTTGCCATGTTCAAATCCTCATTGCTGTCATTTGTACCATGCAAAGGTGTATGCGTGAGCATAGCCAAACATGTGTTTGGCAGAAACATTACAATTTGTCCCTTCGGTGAAATTTGAGGCCAAGAGCAGATGAAAGCTGGCAAAGATGGTCGCCTGTTCTCACGGTACTCATTCTTTGCTTTTGTACTCAACTTGTAGAAACATCTAGGAACCAAATGAATAGCGTGAGCATTGGGATGCATGATGTTGTCTTTTCTGATATCTTCCCTGCAACTTAAACTTTGGCATTTTGGTAAATGTAATTATGATACACGTTTAGCACTAGTTCTGCTTGTTCTTCGTCGCACACCTGAAAACCAATGAAATGAGATTATTTCCATTCATCTCATTCTCGAGACAACCAGGGACCTGTTGATTTGTTTCGCAAAGATTTGGATGCTCCAGTGGATAGTCACTAAAACCCAAATGCTTTTCAATTTAAAAAGGCCTTCATTCATAGATATTTTCAGCGAAGGTTTGCCTGATATTGGCATCGATTGGTGTAGTATTTATTCAACCACACCAGTTCGACTATACGTAACAAGAAGTTACTAGTAACAAAGGGCATCGCAGCAAGGACGCTACCTACTAGTAGCTGCTGGCCTTACTACTAGTAACATTTCTTTTTCAAGGAATCCTTTCTAGGTCCGAAATGGGCATTTCCACGGAAATTGCATTTGTCGAGTTTCAATATGCTCCTAATCTTCTCAATGCCTACGAGAGTATACTTAGGTTAACTTATGTATTGCGGCAATTCCTGTGTTGATACAAGTTCATGTCCATGAGTGGTTGTTGTTTTCCATTATCTTTCCATAAGTTGGCCCTATCCATCAACTTAAACTCTGAGATTCTATCATTTTTCCAAAGTATTGACCACGCTCTTTGTGCTGTCCCTTTCTTTGTGAATCTTCTGTATCCTTTTGAGTTGACCTACTCGTAGTTTCATGAACATAGTTGGCCCAAGGGGTTGGCATCTACAGGTTTAGATGGTTCATATCACGTCTCAATCGGCTGTTAGTGGAGGAAGCAGTTGCAGCAGCTGCCAAGAGTGGAGATACAACTGCACTGCTACGTGAGACGTACCGAAGCTTTCTGCACTTATATTCAAACTTAAGGAAGTCCATTCGCCTGGAACGTATTGTTTCTCTTCCTTTCTTTCGTTTGCCATTTTTTGCACCAAACTCTTTGATGAGCGCATTGCAATTTCGTTCTGCCTCACCGAGGAGCGCTGCGAAGCAAAGCCTACTCCGTGGCACTGGGGCCGCCCCGCAAGGTCTTGGCAGACGTTGTGGTAGCTGCTGGGCTGCGGGGGGGGTGTTGGGCACTGGTTGGGTTCAGCCTTCTAAGCAAATAGTGAAGGCAAGGGCACTTTGAGAATGTGGGACATCTGAAACTTTGATAATCAATGTCAGAGAAAACGAGCTCTCAAAGAGAGTTCTTGTTGGAGACCCAAGACAATCATTCTCGAAGGATGGGTGCAAGGGACTCAAGAAAAGCAAGGAAAGCAGCGAAGAAAGCAAGAACTGAATAAGTCATGATTAGTGACTAGACCTTTTGCAAAGGAGAATGAGAAAAAAAACAGGTCCGAAGCTCTACTGCAAAAGAACTACATAGGTGGAGCTCATTGCTTTTTCTGGCTTCTGCCATTCAGTCACTGTGCCGATTTGCCTTCGAGGATGACATGTTGATCCCAGAAGGCGCTCTGCTGTTTGCTATGCATCCAGCCATTGTGGACAGTGCGCTTGGGAAGACATCATCTGAGGACAGCCAAAACGAACGAGCCACGCTTGCGGCCAACGAGCCATTGGATGTTCGTAGCGTCCGATCGCTCCTAGTAGCGAGGCCAGGAGCCCCTAGTAGCTTCTTGTTACTAGTAGCGATGCACTTTGCTCCTAGTAGCGTCCTGTTACTAGTAGTAAGGCCAGGAGCCCCTAGTAGCGTCCTTGCTCCTAGATACATTGAACTTGTGGTGTGTGGTTCTTAGTTCGGACAGTCGAAGAACAATTTCAATTAGCAGTACTAAACGGGCTAAAAGGGCAAAAGGGCTTTGAGTAGCCATCAGAACATGGAAGGAGGAAGATTTCTCAAAGTATGCCTTCGGCCTTGGTGTAATCCTCAGAGTGACTTGAAAGGTGTTTGAAGCAAATCTGAATCCTTGAATTGCGCTGTTGGCGGCATCATCCCTTTTGCTGACTTCGGACATCACAACCAGATCCGCTCTGTATTTTGTTCTTTTGTCCATGGACATTACTTTGTGATTCCTTGCCCTATTTATAGAGACTTTAGACTCTAAACCATTCTCATTTTGTCTTCTTAGGGTGGAGGTCATCGCAATGTGGTTGGAGGCCATCGCTAGTAGGGTGGAGGCCATCGCTAGTAGGTTGGAGGCCGTTGCTAGTAGGGTGGAGGCCATCGCAAGTAGGGTGCAGGCCATCGCAAGTAGGTTGGAGGCCGTTGCTAGTAGGGTGGAGGCCGTTGCTAGTAAGGTGGAGGCCATTGTTATTAGCTTGGATCCTGTGTTTTTGGCGAGTTTCACCGATCATCCTACCCGGAGCAACAGCGAGTTGGTGAGCTGATTCGCCATGAGTTCCAAATGCATGTTCGCCCAACTTCGTACAGCTGGAGATTGGAGCTTCGCCTGACTCCTGTCTCTTCCAATGGTCCTAGTAGCGTCCTTGCTCCTAGTAGCGATGCCCTTGTTCCTAGTAGCGTTCTTGCTCCTAGTAGTAAGGCCAGGAGCCCCTAGTAGCCTCACCTGATGCAACCGCGTGAGCTCCATGCTCGGTTGTGAAACTTCTTCGTCACCGTCGTGTTCTGAGCCGTTTTGCATGCCTTTTTAGGTCTGCTTTCTGTCTCCGACACTCAGCCCCTTCCCCGCCACCTGTGCCAGGGGGCCCCCTTCTGCAAGTAAAATGCCATTGTTAGTAGGGTGGAGGCCATCGCATTTTTTAAATAGACACATTGGACTCTAAGTCTTTTTTACTTGTGTTAATTTTTAAAGCTATTTTTCGTTGTCTTCTTTTCCTCTCAGGTCCACGCAGCTGCCTGGGGAAGCCATTGGCTGAAGCGATTCTTGTCTTTACAGAGACAGGCAATCACAAGCCACTTTAGGCCCAAAGCTTCGAGTTCTCTCCGAGTTCTTTCCTTCTCTCCTTCCCCAGTTATAATCAGTATCTCCTTCTTTCTGAGCTGACATGCGCCAAGCAGATTTATGGATGCCCAAGGATTCTTCCAGCCATTGTTGGTTCTATTCTCGAGCGGTACAAACTACAGCCTGACAACTCTTCAAGCTTGGAAGACGTCGAAGGTGAGGTGCTCCTTGTCCAAGAAGTGAGCATGGTGTGCTTGAATATGTTTCAAGGTCATCGGATTTTGGACCTAAGTCTTTTTGGTTTGTTTTTAATGTTTCTTAAATCTGTTTTGTTCATGATGTTCCATATCATTCTCCCAATTGTTGTATTTTTCCAAGGAAAGGGCAGCTCATTCGACCAAAGGGTTCACCCAAGCTGCGTTGGGAGAGGCGAATGTAAAAGGAGAGTGGAGAGAATTCATTTTGAGCATTACATTGCTAGTGCCCCACAATTAGGTTGGAGGCCATTGTTTCTAGGTTGGAGGCCATTGCTATTAGCTCGGAGGCCATCCCTATCTTTGGGTACTGCTAGTGCCCGGTTGCCTCATTGCAGCCTTGAAGATTGTCGGATTAAGATTGAACTGCCTTGTGCCAGTGACGAATTGAAAAGCCAAATCTAAAATCACAGGATGGACAGGATCAAGATAGACAGCGTGTGATCTTGTACATTGAGGTGTGTTGGCATATTTGAGGTCTGTATAGTTGTGCCGGTGCCTCATCACAATATCCATTCTACTTGGCACTCGCTAGTAGGTTCGAGGCCATCGCTCTATTAGGTTGGAGACCATCGCTAGTAGATTTGAGGCCATCGCTAGTAGGAGGCTATCGCTAGTAGGGGCGCTTTGCTTGCTTTGCTCCAAGAGCACAGATAGCACAAGCGGTCTGGAGTTGCTCCAGTAGCAACCTACTAGCGTCCTTGCTACTAGTAGCGATGGCCTCCAACCTACAAGCGTCCTTGCTACTGATAGCGGTGGCCTCCAACCTACTAGCGATGAAGAGTGTGTGGATGGCTCTGATTGGCTCTGGAAGTCTAGATCCCATCAGAGCCAATTGGAGAATCTTTCGTTCCTCAGACAAGGGGGTGCGGTTTGTGCATCCGCATGGGATCAACGCATGAAACACCAGCTTGTGAAGGCCGGCGCTTCTTCTGGATCAAGCATTGCAACCCACTTTGTCTGTTTTTTGTTGCTAGCAGACTTGAAGTAACATCATCTCTACAAGCCCCAAAAGTGCAGTGAACCAGCCCCAAGAAACCATACTATACCTGACAAAACCTTCTTGGCTTGTTTGGCCTGTTTCAAGAAGTTATTGTAAGGGGTAGAGACGTCAAGACTTTTGCAGCTTCTGGATGTCAAAGTCCATCCAGATTACTGATGTCGCTTTTTCCACGAATGCCACAGAGAGGGTTTGCGGCCACGCTCAACAACCAGTCGGCGGCCTACTTTCTGAGTTTTATTTATTATGTTTTCTTTACTGGCTACTAGGTTGGAGGCCATCGCTCTTGGGTTGGAGGCCATTGTTCTTAGGTTTCATTTAACATTTTCTTTCTGAAGCAGCCGAACACCCAGACGGCAAGATTCCTGTTGCATCAGCACAAAGGACTAGGTGACTTCCATCGCCACTACAAAAACCTGACCCTTTCTGCGTCGAATAGGTAGTATCTCAGTTAAGCTGCTAGCACATAGCTAATTATTAATTTTCTTGTCAAGGAAAGAGTCTCGGTTCCGTTTTGACTATTCTATATATTGTTTCTACTAGCTTTTTGCTCCTAGTAGCGATGCACTTGTTACTAGTAGCATGCCAGGAGCCCCTAGTAGCGTCCTTTGCTACTAATTCTGGACCTGAGGATCCCTATGTGCTCTTCAAATCACATCGCGTCATCGTGGGCCGTCGTGAAGACTTTCGACGCCGCACTTCAACTCCTACTTTCGCAGGCATGTTGTTTTTTCGTTTCACACAAGTCCCACTAGAATTAGTTCAACAAGCTTTTTTTCAAGAAGTGTAAAGGTCTAGAGAGAAAGGTTACGGGAAAGGAACAAAACAGTTTTTCTTCCTCTTCTAGTAGGTTGGAGGCCATCGCTACCAAGGTTGGAGGCAACTTTTCTTCCTTTTCCAAACCTTCGTTTGAGAAGGTTTGTCGCTGTTTGGACGAGTCACTCGAGTCGCTTTTTGCAGGTCCCTTCGCAGTAAGCTTCGGAGGTCCTGAAGACAGTGAGCAATTAGCCGTCGAGCTTTGGGACCGCATTCAGGAAGGGGACGAGCTCTTGGAGGAGGCAGGAACGGGAGTCATAAACGCCTGTAGGCCAAAAGACTTAAGAAAGAAAGGCAAGAACCAGTTCGTAAAGAAAAAAAGACACAGCGCAAAGGTTGGTCGTTTTGGAGCGCCTTCAAATGAAAATGGCTTTCTGGGCTTGAGGCCTTGTAGATCCTTAGGGTCAGCGGGTAGTGAAAAATTGTTTTCTTAAGAGCTACCTTTGTGACGACTAGAATGAAGGTAATAAGATGTAGTAAAGGCCGATAGCAGGTTGGAGGCCATCACTACTAGGTTGAAGGCCATTGCTCTTAGGTTGGAAGCCATCGCTACTAGGTTGGAGGCCATTGTTAAGTCGCATTCGGATTTAGTTTCTCGGGAATGTTGCTGGGCGTTCGGTGCTGTGTCGACAGGTGACTATTGATTTCAAAGATGAAGCGATCTTTGGCGACTCGGAATGTGAACCGTTAAGACGTGCTTTTGAACGCAAATGATGACATAATGATGGATCTTAACAGCAGAAAGTCTTAAAACATCTTAAAACCACAAAAATACTTCTGATTCTTATTGTATTTTTACAATTGCTATTAGGTTGGAGGCCATCGCAAAGGTAAATCGATCAATTCTCATTGCTCTTTGCACGTTTGGCGTCCGCGGCTTTGTGAGGCCGGAAGACGTGGGTCATGTCCCAAGGTGGCTCGGTGTCGTTCACGTGGAGCTTAAGCCGCAAGGGCCAGTCCTCCAACGACCAACTTCACATCAATCAGATCTCCTCCGAAGCTTGGACTCTTCGACTTCGGTTTCTAAGAACAGGAAGCTACACTAGGAACAAAGGGCATCGCTACTAGGAGCAAGAAGGCTACTAGTAGCTCCTGGCCTTTGTTTTCCTTGTTCTTTTCAGGCACCCGCTTTTACCTGACTAAGTAGGCCAGGCGGCTACCATGCTACTTAGTTGAGCTTACTAGTGGTAGGGACACCAGCCTGAGGGCGGGGGAGCTTCCTTGAAGAAGCGCTCGCACTATTCATTTGGTTCCTAGGTTTTAGGGGAACTGAACTCCCTCGTAGGTTGAAGGCCATCGCTCTCAGGTTGGAGGCCATTGCTACTAGGTTGGACGCCATCACTAATAGGTTGGAGGCCATCGATACTAGGTTGGAGGCATTGCTACTAGGTTGGAGGCCATCCCTATTAGATTTTCTTATGGAAACTGAACTTCGTTTGCATGTAACACATTGATTCAGAGACTCGAAGCTCTACAGCGGCTTCACTATCAAGATGACCTGGACCTTTCATTCTTCTTGTTTTCTTGGGCTAAGAGGTTTCCGCTTTGAGGTTTCTAAAGCGCCACGTCTTGCGATAAAGGCTTCTTACCCACTACCATTTACTACCAAAGGATTAAGACATTGACCTAGGGCCTCAAGGAAAGGATTCTTGTTGGATGTGCAACACTTATTAGTTTTGTCGGTCTTTGCTTTCACATTTTTTTCTTATTTCTAATAGCTTCTTGTTCCTAGTAGTAAGGGCAGGAGCCCCTAGTAGCGTCCTTGCTCCTAGTAGCGATGCCCTTTGCTCCTAGTAGCGTCCTCTACCCGTTTTTGTCAGTCTTTGCTTTGTGCAATTAGCGCGTTGCAGTTTTGACTTGCGACTTTTTCTCAGGATTCGGAGGGTGAGAGCTGGTATTTGCTGCTTACTGGAGAGTCGCTTGCAGTGCAACAAAGGCACAACCAGAACAGATTGTAATCAATTTGACACAACTTGCCAAGACATTTGTAACCAATTTTGGCAATTTGGTCAGGTGGCCATGGGAGCTTTTGCGGGTGCAACCACGGCAGATGTCATTCGACGAACAAGGTGCGGAGTGTCCATGTAGGAGCCCTCTTGTCTTTTGTCTCAAACGTTTAAGTTTCCGCCAAACATCTGGGAACCAAATGAATAGTGCGTGAGCTACGCGTACTAGTAGCTACAGCTACTAGCGAACTACTCTATGCTACTAGCGGCTTAACCCAACGCTCTTAGATTGGAGGCCATTGCCCTACCCCGTAGAAACAAGAAGCTACTAGGAACAAGTGCATCGCTTCTAGTAACAGGTGCCTTACTAGTAGTAACAAGAAGCTACTAGGAGCAAAGAAAGCTACTCCTTCCTCGTGAAGCTCGTCCTTCCCCTTTAGGGCTGGGGTGAGCTGAGAGCGCGTCCGTAGCTACAGCTACTTCCCTCTGTTGGCCTAACCCACAACAAAGTACATATTTGTATAAGAAAATGTATATGCATTATATCATAGTTATGAGAATGTCTTCTTTGTTTGAATCTTTCTAGAAGCTTTTTGATGCTGTTTGGCTTCACTTTCTCTGTGCAGGCTATTTGGTGGAGGCTTGGAAAGCTGATCCTGCAGGACACCAGAACACAAGAAACCGATCCGGTAGGTTGGAGGCCGCCAGTAGCGAGGAGGCCATCGCTATGAGGTTTCTTTTTGCAACTTTTCTTTCTCTATTCTTTTCTCTTTACCCTTCGTCTCGTCAAATCCATCCTGTAGGCATTTTCCTTTTCTTTTGCGTTCTCGAGTCCCTTTGGGTGCTCTTTGAGTCGAAGAGTCGAAAAACAGTTGGACTAGTAGGGGGCGGTCTTTTGTTCCGATGTTCTTAGCAAGGAGTATTTTGTTCCTTCCGGCCAAGTGTGTTAAGCCATGCTCAGGAGATGTCCTACTGGGTGAAGCAATCCTTCAATTGGCACCCAAAGAGAACGCCGCCACTGTGGAGCTGTCAAATGGTACCCTCTTTGTGCTATTTGTACTCGAGTTTCTGTTTTGCTTTGAAGGGTTCTTGTATTGGAGAGCGTTCTTGTCTGTCGTTGCACGCGTTACTTAAGTTCACGAGCAAAGGCAAGGAAGGAAAGGACCGAAAGTAAGAAAGGGACGGTCTAAAGAAGAAGGGCACAAAAAAGATACTCAAAAGCATTCTAGTCTAGTTTCCAGCAGCAAGGGGTAGAAAGCATTGTCTTTGACCCAAGGTGTCAGAATAGACTTTTCCTACAGAGTGTCCACAGGAGGACCACATTGGCAGCTTTCGCGGTTTTGTGACCAAGTGCGAACCTTTATGTTACTCTAAATAAAGCAACAGAGGAAAACGGGTCCAAAGGAAACAAGAGCAACAAAGAAAAACAGCAGGTTTAAAGAAAACCGATGAAAACAACGAGGACAGGTCTGCATTTTTTTGGAACGAGTATTTTTGGTTCTCACTCAGTGCTTTTCCGTTTGGCAGCAAACACACTTTTGGTGAGGACAGGATCCGCTACGAGTCGTTGTTCGAAAGGACATCCAAATCTTGTTGCAAACGTAATCCATGTAATCTCTCAGACTTGGAGTGAAACCTTTTGGTTTTCCAACAGACCAAAGTGCTGGAGGCTATCGCTAGTAGGTTGGAGGCCATCGCTAGTAGGATTTCTATTGCTTCTTTCTTTCCTTCTTTGCTTTTTGAGAAAAAGAAAGTGGCGACACTGTACCTTGCTCCAGGAAATCCGCTTGATGCCGGAAGCAGAGCAACTGCGCTTCCTAGCAGCTCTGCAAAAGCTCATGGAAAATAAGGCGAGATCAAGAAGCCAACCAGCAGAGAATATACATCAAAGAAAAGAATTGTCCAAACGGCATAAAAACAAAGGAAGCAAGGAAGGAAAGAAGGAATAAAAGACAAAAAGATAAGCAAAGGAAGGTACCAAGCACATGTTGTCTTGTTTAAGCTTTAGGGACAGAAGGCTTCACACGAATGCTTTTTGACACATTCTCGCTTTCTTTTTGCACACCCACTGTTCAAAGTATTTTATACCTCTAATGCTACTTTTGCAATTGAACACATTCCGCTGAGATCCTTTGAAGGCAGTAGGTAGGAAGCGTTCTTGCTCATTCATGGTCTAAAGCCCCTTTGTCATTGGCAACTTCAGACATCAAGGCTCCTCTTGAGCGTCGTATACTCAAGTAGGAACAATGTTCGCTACTAGGAACAAGTGCATCGCTACTAGTAACAAGTGCCTTACTAGTAGTAACAAGAAGCTATTAGAAACAATAAACAATCCTTACTTTCCGGCCACAAATCATTAGCGCGAGCGCTTCTTCAAGCTTCCTTGAAGAAGCGTGAGCTATCCTGCGTCCAGCTTCTAGTAGCCTATTTTACTAGCTACCTAATCGCCCTAGCGGCCTACACCCCGGGCTTTAAAACATCATTAAGTAAAGGAGAAAACAGGCTTGGCTTTTCACTTCTCCCAGGAGGAAAGCCAAAGCTCCGAGTACTTCCGCCTTGCTGCGTACCACGGCTGGCCTGAAGACTACTGTGCTCATGGCCTCTCGGTCTCGGCATTAGTTAGTAGCAATGCCCTTGCTCCTAGTAGCAATGCCCTTGTTACTAGTAGCTTCTTGTTACTAGTAGTAGTGCCAGGAGCTACTGGTAGCGATGCCCTTTGTTAGCATCTTGAACAAAAAGGAACATCTATAGAAGCGTTGCAGCAAAGCATTCCAGCAAACATGAATAAGCAGTTCGAAGAAGTTGTAGACATAGGACTAGAGGTAGATTTCCTATATGCTGCTGTCAGTACTGCAGTGAATGCATTGACCCAAAGAGCATTCTAAGCCCAAAACTACTTGTTCACCGGGTTCGGGTTCAAAACCAGAACACTTGTCAGCTGAGCTTTCTAAAACCCCATATCTTTTTGCTCGCTTGAAGAGATCGACGTCGCTACCAGTGCTTTAGTAACTCCGACTTGGCTCGCTCGAGGGAGACCTAAATACCGCTTGCGAAAGAAGGAGTTTTGATACTTGTTTTCGATACTTCTTTTTTCCAAATGGAAGAACCTAAGAACCTTTGTTGAAGAATCTTAAGAGAGAGTGTGACAGCGAGGATAGGATCACGACATGTGAAATATCGCAGAAATGTGAGCTTTGGAGATGACGAGTGGACAATTGGCATTGTTTCACACATTGTCTTCTTGTTGGTTTTGTCTTGTTTCTTGTTTTCTTTTCCAGGGGCTTTTTAGCATTAATGGAAGATCGCTGGAGGGGCCTTGTGGTAGGATGGTTGTGCAAATGGCCCTCCGAAAGAGACAAACAAGAGGTCCAAAGAAAAAGGACAAACAAAAACATGTGCAGGAAGGTCTAACAAAAAGAAACGAAGAGGAACAGAAAGGGACCAAGAAGATACATACCCCGTTCTGAGGCCAGGAGACCTTTCCGGGATGGCACCGAGCATATCTCTATGAATTTGAGCAAGCTATCATCAAGGCGCAGTGATCCAAGCTTTCGCTCTTGGCGCGCTTCTTCGTCAACTCTTTTTGGTCAGATCTTACAAGACCTCCACAGACATGTCAAAATGAACGAAACATGAAGGTAAGGCCCTTAACAAAGGTACCCCTTATGAAGGGACCCTTGCTATTCTAGATAGCTTTTCTTATTTCTTTTCGACATTGCGGCTCTGAATATAAACTCCTTCGTACAAAGGTCGTACAAAGGAGTCAGACACGAAACACGCTGTAGATCTTGCAAGATGTCTAGAGAGCTAAAAAGGCAAAAACTGTCTAAAGGTCGTTGAACAAGGAACAAGAGAAAAGAACCAGAGAAAAGAAACTGAACATACACAGAAAGCAACGAAGCTACTAGGAACAAGAAGCTACCGGGGGCTCCTGCCCTTACTACTAGGAGCAAGGACGCTACTAGGGGCTCCTGGCATCGCTACTAGGAACAAGAAGCAACGATGGGAACGAAAGATGTTTGTTTTGCGCGACTCAGGCGGATCAGGATTTGGGTCACGATGGTAACATCGGAGTTCCTTACTGGGACTGGACAAGACTTGAGCTGAATGGCCAGGTCCTGCCGCTTGTTGCACCTGATAGCAATGACCTCCAACCTAATAGCTTCTAGCTACTAGTAGTAATGCCTTTGTTACCAGTAGCGAGAAGTGAATATCCTTCTATTTTTCCAGTTGCAACAGCTCCGAGTGGAGCTGCAAATCACTAGAAGCAAAAGGGTTCCAATTGGATTGGAAAAACCAACTGAAAGCGAGGCCAAGAATTATCCGTGAGAATTTCTCAGAGCTGCCGAGCGGCCTCGTCGATGAGTCCCAGGCGAGATCAGAAGCAACACATTATTTTGGAATGTCCATTTTTTAGGCCTTTCATTTTGTGTCTTCCACTTTCATGATTTTATGTCTTTTCAATCTTTTCTTTAGGCTCTAGACCTTTATTTTGTTTGTTCTTCCTTGTTCTTCCAGAAGAAGAGCTAGGTAGAGTTCTCTACCTGTGGTCTCGTCGCAGTCTTGGGTCATAGGTCTGGAATGTCAAATGCCCCCCTGCTGGAAGGCACTGTATGAACATTCTCCTCAAAGTTTGTTCAAAGAAGGAGGAATGCTCAGGGTAGAGTCCTCATAGAGCATCGTTCTTATCACATGGACCCAGAATCAAGAAGATCTGGATCAGGGTCAACCATAGCCCAGGCGGAAACAGGTTGCGTCTTCAAGGTCAGTCTTGGCAGAAGCGTCACTAGGCAGATACAGCTGTAGCAGGGCATCGCTACTAGTAACAAAGGGCATTGCTACTAGGAGCAAGGACGCTACTAGGGGCGCTACTGGCCATACTACTAGGAGGAAGAAGCTACTAGTAACAACATTTTCCCATTCTCCTTGACATAGCATCTTTTGTGAGGCAGGGCAGCTGGGTTCCCGCGGATACCGGCTTCCTTCAGAGGATCGTCTGCGACAAAACCTAATAGCAATGCAGGCAGGGAGGTCCAGAGGAGTGTCCCTGACAGGCATCGGGTGGCATCAAAAACGTTGCTGTTCCCCCCAAAAAGTCCACAGAAGGAGCATCAGCAACAAATGCATAGAGAAAAGAGTAGTGTTGTCCGGACACTCTGTTCATAGTCACGGGCTCTTATAGAGGATCAGAATCTAGTCTAACTCGTTGTGTTTGTACCATCAAAGAATGCTACTAGGGGCCCTGGCCGTACTACTAGGAACAAGAAGCTAGTAGAAACAATAAGCTACTAGGAACAAGTGCATCGCTTCTAGTAACAAGTGCCTTACTACTAGGAACAAGAAGCTACTAGGAGCAAAGAAAGCTACTCTTGGTCTCGTTGTGTGCGGATTACATACGGGTCGTGGGCGTCTCGCGTGGAACGCATCGAGACCAGACGTCAGGAAAGCTGGCCTTCTTTTTGGAGGGGGATAGGCCGAGGTAGCTTGTAGTAGCTAGGGAGTCGCTAGTAGCTTAAGTAGCTACTACCGACAGGAGCTTCCTTGAAGAAGTGCTCGCACTATTCATTTGGTTCCTAGATTTTAAGGGAAACTTAACTATATAATGGCTACTAGAAGCGATGGCCTCCAACCTAAGAGCAATGGCCTCCAACCAAAAAGATGGAGACCTGGAAGTTCTAATCTCCCACTGAGATTCTGTTTTAGCACAGAGACCTCAGCCTTATGAAGAAACCTTGAAGGTCTTAGCGCAAAGAGCTTCAATCAGAGCTCATGGAACCACCCTAAGATTCTTATTGAGGATCCTAGTAAGAAGCTTCCATCAGATATGGAGCTACCATGAAGAAATTCCATCGTGATCTTTTCGAAAGAGCAAGACATTAGTTTTTTCACAGATGTCTTGAAGATGCTCCTGCAGAATGGCTACCAGTAGCGATGGCCTCCACCCTAGTAGCGATGGCCTCCCACCTAGTAG